ACTGCACTTCCTTTCTGCAGGACCCTCTGTCCTGTGATTCCCATTGGGTTCCTCTCCAAAGGCCCACCTATCCAGCCATTTGTTTCCATCTTTAAAGAGACAGCTGATGGAGTGGGCACTTGGCCTAACAGTCAAGACAATCTCAGTCCATATTGCAGTATCTGTGTTGGATTTCTGGCTCCGGCTCTGGCTCCGGCTCCTGACTCCATTTTTCTGCTACTTGAAATGTTGGGAAGACAGTGGTGATGGCTCAAGGGGATGGATCCCTGCCACCCACATGGGAGACCTAGACCGAGTTCTCAGCTCTCAACTTCAGCCCAGTTTTTGCAGGCATCTGGGGAGTGACCAGCAGATGGGAACTCTACTTCTCTCTTTGTTCTCTACTCTCTTTCTTTACCTGAAGAACCAAAACCACTAGCTTCCTTTCCCCCAAACAGTTAAGGACTCCTCTTTCGCTAAGTTCATCCATTGCCTGCCTCCTTGTCAACCAACCTTGGTTTCCTGTCACCCTGCCTTGGTTTCCTTTCACGTCTACCTCTTGCACGGACTAGGAGTCCCTTCAGGAATAAGACCTTGTCATTTCTCCATCCCTGTCACCCACCCAGCCCGGGCACCTATCAGGAAAAAGACCATTTCGGCATTTGTGGGATGAGTGTGGTTCTCTATTCACCATCCTCCTCATCCATGCCATTTCCAGAGTGAAGCTTCCCCCAGTGTGCCCACAGACACAGTGGAGGAGAAGTAAAAGCCACAGAGGTATCCAGGCTCTTTCTCTTTGGCCCCCATGAGCCATGACCCAGGCCACTTTAGGAAAAGAACTTGGGCTGGGTCGTGTCACTTATCAACGGTCATGAAATTAGCAAGTTCTGGACTCATGTTCCTTGACACAAAATTAATTTTAAAATAAGTGGGGTGGGGATGTGGCACCAGTGGTTGCATCATGACTTGGGACACCAGCTTCCCATATCACAGTGACTGGTTCGAGTCCAGGCTGCTCCATTTCCAATCCAGCTAACGATGAACGTTGGGAGGTAGCTGGCAAGGGCTCAAATACCTGGGTCCCTGCCACCCAGGTGGGAGCCCCGGATGGAATTCCTGGCTCCTGGCTTTGGTCCAGCCCAGCCCTGAATCTTATGGGCCTATAGGGAGAAAACCAGTAGATGGGAGACTTTTGTCTCTGTGTCTCTGTCTTTCAGATCAAGTAAAAAATAAGCAATTTTTTTTAAGAAACAAGAATATCTACCTCTCAGAGCTATGGTGAGGATTGCCTACAGTAACACAATTATTGCTGCTGGTCACACTTCATCTGCAGGTGTCAGTTCCGAATCAGCTTCCCAGTTTGTCCTTTCTCATCAGGCTCTGTCAGCACCTGCTCACACAGGCGACCATTTCCTCTGATGTAGCAGGTCACGTGAGCCTCCTAAGGGTCTTCATTTAGCCCTTTCACAATTCATTCTGCACCCTTAAAATATAAAAGGGGATTCAAATAGCCCAGTGGCTCTCATTCACCTGGCAACAAAACCTGAGCCTTCCGGGACTTGAACATCCTGGTCCATGTCTGCTTCTGTTTCTCTTTCCCCCAGAGTGGTCCAACTGAACCCTCCCACACTAAGAGAGACCCCTGTTCCCCATCCTAGAAGCCTGCTCATTTCCTTTCTCACCTAAATCGAGATGTAGGACATTTACTCCTTACCTGCAGCCAGTACTGAGGAGGCAGTCAGTGGTAAAGCTAGCTTTCTTTCTCTTCCTCCCCTCGCCCATCTGCTCACCCTGCCTGCATCCCCAGAGCCTTTGGGCAAAGGACAAATACCACCCATCAGAGGGGAGACTCAGTGCCCAGTGTCATCACCACTTTGTTTGATGAGTTCTGACTCCAGCATCCGGGACATGTGTGCTGAGAGCCAAAGCAATCACGTGTACCCTGACCTCTGGTGCGCCCGGTCCCATCCTTCTAACAATTTCCATGACAACAGTGAGAGAGAGCCAGGGCTGTGGATTCCCTTTGATGGATGCCGGATGTGGGGTTGGGGGAAGAAGGACTTTTAGAAGAATGGGGCTCTTTGATTCTGTGCGAGGCGCCTTCATTAGATAGTACCATTTCCCGAGTACACACATTTTAACCCTGCAGAAGGAGGCTTCCCATGAATGCATAAAAAAAAAAAGAAAGAAAGCAAAGGAGGGAAAAAACCCCAACTTCTTAATTTCTGTTCTGGAACATTCACCTGTAGTGGGGGAGACAGGCTTGGGTGTCATGGTATCAGCAATATTTTGATGATAGGGGACAGGTAGGACACATGGTTCTTTTCCAAAGGTATTGTGTGAATCTGAGGAGCCTGGCTACTGGCTGAGTGCTCACGGTCTCCTCTGTCCACCCTCAGAGCTCACAGTCCCATCAGCAAACAGGCAGCAGGACACAATGGGAGGCACAGGGATCCATGCATCTGTGCTTGGAAGCACAAGCTCCAGACTGGAATCCAGTTCTGTTATATGTTGCTGGGATATCTGGGGCATGTCACTCGCCACACATGGACAAAATTTCCCAATCTGTCAAATGAGCACATCTCAGCTGCTCCTCCCTCCTTTGGGCGTCTCAGGAAGAGTACCTGAGGGATGTATATATAAGGTCCCCACCTGTCCCCCTGTGCAGGACACTGGATAAGGATTCTTCAAAACAGTCAAGGTCCTGAGATACAGCCTCAGGCAGGAGGAGATTAAGTGTAACACTTGATGCAGCCTGGTACCCTGGGATGGGTCCTAGATGGGTAAACTCTGAATCAAACCTGAATTTAGGTGTTTGCTTGTTTTTAGGTTTTCTGGTTAAGCTCGTAAGCTCTGCCTAGAAGATTGTACTGTACAGTCAGAACCTGACCTCAGATACTGGGAGCAGAGACAACTCTGATATCTAAGCTTCTACACCTGGTGCTATACTCTGCTGATGCCCACGTATGCCTTCTGCTGTCCTGGGCATCTGTCCACCACCAGGAAGAAAGAAAGAGCACCAAAGGTCTCCTAGACCAACCAGCCTGAGTCCCAGGCCTTCAGTCTCTCCAATCTTTTGCTTCCTCAACTGTTTAATAAAGAGATGGAGTCAATTGAATTCAGTAGAAAGATGCAAAGGAACTTCAGAACGTTGATAGAATAATGAAATAAAGGTGAGTTGGTTATGTTACAAAATCTTCTGAAATACATGCGTATGATAAGGTCTTCAGAAAGTCCATGGAAAACACCTATGATGAATAACCACATGGATTTACAAAACACTGCATCACAATAAATCTCTTTGAATTTCATTTTCCTAACCACTTAGTGTTTTTTTAATTTGAAAGCTAGAGGGACAGAGACAGACAGAAAGAGATCTCCTTTGTCATCTGATTCACTCCCTACATGCACTCAATAACCAGGACTGGACCAAGTTCAAGCCAGGAGCCTAGAACTGCATCTGGCTTTCCTATTAGGGCAGAAAGGGTTCAGGTAAAACACTTGAATCATTACCTGTTGTCCTCCAATATGTGCATTAGCAGAAAGCTGGACTGGATGCTGAACTGAGAATTGAACTCAGGTACTCTAACATGGGATGGCCATTTCAAACAGCGCCAAACCACAGTACCGAATGTCCATATAACCCCAAAGAACCTAAATTTCTTAAGATTTGTTTGTTTCTTCATTGGGAGAAGTGATGGGAGAGAGAGAGAGGGAGGGAGAAAGAGAATGAGCTTCCACATGCTGATTCATTCCCAAATGGCTACAATGGCTTGAACTGGACCAGGCTGAAGCCAAGAACCAATAACTTCTTTGGATCTCCCCTGTGGTTGGCAGGGATTCACACACTTGGACCACCTGATACCACCAAACACATTAGTAGGGACCTATGGGTTCATCATACCCAGGTTCTGCCACTTTCCAGTTGTGTGGCTTTGTGTAAATCACCCAGCTCCCTCCCCTTCAATCACTTCCTCCAGTGAGCTATCCTGAGTCCATCCTGTGACAATGTGCATGGGAGGTTCCAGAAAGCAACAGGTGAGGGGCCAAGCTCATATCCTGGGCAGCACCAACGGCCTTCCACTCACCGCTCAAATGGTCACAGTTGGTTATGATTACAACTGTTCTATGAAATGAGTTGTTGGGTACAGTGGACTTACACCAGCTCCCTGCACACCTAGGCTATGTGATAACAGCCTAGTGCACAAAGGGCCATTAAGAAGAAAACAACATGAGGCTAAATCTAGTGCAAGAATGAACTAATTAAGGGGCACAGTCAACATGAGATATGTGAGGCTGCTGCCAGCATAACAGGGCACACAATTTTACAGTCATTTTTTAGAAGTAGAAGGTGTACACTCCAAAACACACATAAAAAGCATAGCATAATAGAGAAGCCAGTCACACAAATGTTTATGATCAAGTATTAGGTGCTATCTGTAATTGTGTGTGTTTGAGAAGACGAACGGTGCTGTTAAGTCTGTGCATGTCAGCATCAACACAAAAATATGATGCACTGCATATCAACACTGGGGTAGATACACATCAGCAGGAAGTCATCTCTGAGACCATCTTATGGGGCCACAGTAATATTTACAGTCCCTTTTTGACTGTGTTATGCTATGTTTGACAATGTTTGTTTCCTACCCAGCCCTCGTGCTCACCAAACTTATACACATCAACACATATACCACATATAGACACAGACACGTGTGCACACACATACACAAACATAGACATGCATATGCATATACACACATAGACATCACACACGTACACATGCGCTATACTCAGCCATTCTGGCCCAAGGCCTGACCTGGCCAAGCTGTCAAGCCAGCATTGAAGATGGCAACAGGATTCCTCCTCATCTTCTAGGGGGAATCTCCTAGCCTCGCCATGGCCCTTGCAGGTCTGCAAAGGTCTAGAGACTGGGTCATGGTCCCAGCACACCAAGGAGAGACAGCCATTCTTGCCCAGCTGCAGCATCCTTCTCCCTCCCAGCCCCTCCAGAGGACACATACCTGGCTGTGCACTTTGTCCAGTTCCTCCTTGCTGACTGACGTCTTGCTCTCCTCCATGGTCCCCAGAAGGAGCTGCACGTCTGACAGCAGCGCATGTGTCCTCTTGAGGTCCCTCCGAAGACGCTTCTCCACGTCAAAGTCACGATGGCCAATCTGGAAGTCAGGGAGACCCAAGAGTTTAGATGACAAAGCAGTGGCCCAGGGTTCCAAGTTCTCCAAAATCCCAGCTCCCTGGATTCACATCCTGCTTTTCACACTGTGCAACCTTGAATAAGACCCTTCTCCTCCCCAGCCTCAGTCTCCTCATTTGCAAAATGGAACTGGACCAGCTTTGTGGGGGCTGATGTGAAAATTAAACTCAGGCTCAAAGGCCTGACACAGACTGTGCACAGCAACCTTGAGTCAATCATGAGTGTTGTTGTATGGAGCCAACAAGACTGTTCTCATAGTGTTCACTTTCATAAACTTTGTGGTGGGCCCGGTACAATAGCTCAACTGGCGAATTCTTCCCTTGTAAGTGCCAATAGACTATATGGGCACCAGTTCGTGTCCCGACTGCTCCATTTCATATCTAGCTCCCTACCTGTGGCCTGGGAAGGCAGTGGAGGATAGCCCAAAGCCTTAGGACCCTGCACCTGTGTGAGAGACCTGGAAGAAGCTCCTATCTCCTGGCTTTAGATCAGCTCAGCTCTGGCTGTTGCAGCCGTTTGGGGAGTAGACCTGCAGACAGTTGTTTCTGTCTGTCCTTCTCTCTGTAAACCTTTCCAGTACAAATAAACAATTTTTTCAAAAAAAAAATTCCTGATGACCCCCAAGTATGTATAAATTTTGAAATTTTGGCACCAAAAGTCAATTTATCTTTTAGCTGGCTTTCAGCAAACGTTCTGAAGTACCCATCTACAAGCTGTACAAGTAGGATTTAGTTTGTTTCACTGTTCTACACCTCCGTGAATAGTAACTGAATTCCTTGGGAAGACCTAAGTCAACCTTTACGGAGTTCAAGTCCCTTGAGGTCAGGAAGGTGAGATCATTTTCTACAGAGGAGTACTGCCCAGGGATGAGCACATTCCTGTCCGCCCCACCCCCAACTCCCACACCCAGAAAGTTGAATTTTCAGGGAGTCACTGTCATTTGAGTCCTGAAGAAGCCACATCCAGGACAGGGTACCACAGAGTGACATGACGTTTCCTTGGCAACCCCCCAGTAGCCAGCGATACATGTTGAGACAAAGCAGAGGAAATGCAGAATCAACACACTGGGGCTCCTACACATGATCCAGTTGTTCATAGGGGCCTCAAGACCAACAGCCACACATTGGAAAAACAAAGGGCTGGGGTGGCTGAAGTAGCTGCTTTCGAAGCCTGCATCCCACCCACAGCAGAATCTTTGTTCAAGACTTGGTTACTCCTCAGTGCTGTTTCAGTTCCCTGCTAATGTAGCTACAAGGGAGTAGAACTTGGCTCATGTCCTCTGGTCCCTGCCACCCATGTGGGTGGCCTGGTTGCAGCCCCCAAATGGTTGCAGGCATTTGAGAAGTGAACCAGCAGTTAGAAGATCTCTTTATATATCTCCGTTTATGTCATCTTGCCTTTCAAATAAATAAATAAATCTTTTTTTAAAGAACTTGCATTATTTTTAACATATTGTTTACCCAATACTATGTCAATTAATTCCATAATGTTGTATATTGATACTGAGGTTTTGTTGGGGCTTTTAACTGACCGGATCTTTACTCTGTTAGCCCTATCTTCAGACTAGAGAAGGTCTCCCCAAGAGGCCACTGAACTTATCTGGACAATAAGACGCTAGACTTTATGCTAGATATGTGTTTGCAAGGAACGAATCTCAACTGAACTTGAACTGTGGTTATGCATCAAGGTGGAGGAATCCACCATGGGGGGAGGGGTATAGGAGGGGTGGGGGGAATCCCCAGTGCCTATAAAACTGTATCACATAATACAATGTTAACAACAATAAAAAAAAAAAGAAAGTTTAAATAGTGGATTTGGAACTACCTCCATGGCATAACACGTTAAAGCCTCCACCTATGGTGCCAACATTCCACATAGGTGTTGGATCGAGTCACAGATATTCCACTTCTAATCCAGCTCCCTGCTAATGACCTAGAAAGGCAATGAGGACTACCTCAAGTCCATGGGCTCTAGACCTAAATGGGATACCCAAAGGAAGCTCCTCGTGGTCCCTGGCTTTGGACCAACCCAGCTCCCGCCATTGCATCCTGGAATGAACTAGTGGAAGTTAAGTGGATTAGCATGTCCAAGAGAAACCAACTGTCCCTTTACTGGACACTTCAGAAGACCAAAGAAAAGAACACAACATCATCCATGTAAAGGAAAAGATTTTTAAAACTGGGGTGCAAGTGCCTCAACACTGAGGCTTAGTTATCACACACCTGGGAATCTGTGCCTTGCTCATACCATATGCTCAAGAATGCTCAGAATGTTCCAGAATATTCTAGAATAAACACAAGACTGAGAATGGGGTGGCTCAATCTTTAAGTCCAGATTCAATGATTTGATGTGGTTCTGATCTCAACTGAATCACATCACCTATCTGAACCAGAGTTTCTCACACCACAGAAAAGAGAATTCATGAAAATCCCATCCTCCATATTGAGATAAGACAAGGATCAGACATGATAATGGATTGCTTAGCACTTTGTGTGTTGTCAAATGCTTTACAAATAGAATGGATTATGAGTTTTGTCTGATGACCTAGAATGTGTTCCTTGAGATTTCATATTACTATTTCTCTCCTGTAGGCTTCAAATTCTTTGAAAAATGACTTGGTTCTTAGAATATAGCCTCTTTTCTCTCAGATGTATTGCTTTGGTAATCTTGCAATGCTGGTCTAAAACATGCATCTTTTGAACTCGCTGAACAGCCGAGGGCTGGGCTCTATGCCAAGTTCTTTGTCCCATGACTACGTTAACTTCTGGGACAATTTCTTAAAAGCAGACATTTGTTATTATTGCTTTCATGAAAGTAGTAATCGCTTTCATGTATCGACAGCCTTCTAAATGCCGTTTACTATTGGAAGACTTCGTGGTTTGTTAATATGTTAGTCATGATGAATTCATGGGAGTGTGTATCATTAGGATTCTAGTGTCAGATGATGAAAGTGACATCTTTTATCCCAAGATCAGCAGTAGGAGAGGAACCCACAACACTTCTGGTTGGAAGGAAGGACTTTTAGTAAGATATGCCATGAGACTGGGATGTTTGGCTTTTGCCATTAACAACAACAACAAAAACAAAACAAAACAAACAAACAAACAACTTCAGGGTGGGAAGAGAACTGGGAAAAAAAATTAGGTTTGAAAGGGATTAGGAAGTAGGATTTAACTACATTCAGCTAGGAGAAGGGCAGGAAGGATATTTTAAGTGGAAGATATCAGAGAGAGGAGCCAAGACAGGTGGCAAACAGGCTGGCATATGCAACTCCAGGTGACTGACATGAGGCTCTAAAGCCCTGAATAAAGGCAGGCAATACGAAGAGATGTGACCAAGGGCTCTCGTATGTACCATCAAGGGGGAAACAAACAGCTGCTAACACTGATATGGATGAACACATGACCTGCCCATGGTTATACTGCCATTAAGTGGCTATTCAAAGCCTTGAGCCCAGGTAGTCCATCCCTAGGATCTCTAACCACTGCACTAGGATGCCCAGTGGGGCTGCCACCTCAACCCAGGTTTCCTTTCTCTAGAACCTGGATTTTGTACTCTGACAATACCTGAGCAGCATGCTTTGCCCCACTCCCAGTTTTGCCTCAGCTGTTGTGTTGTGTGTGTTCCCAAAGTTCTTTCAACTGTCCCATGGGACAAGCAGGTCTCAGCGATATTCACTGCTGTCCAGGCAGCAAGAATGGCTCAGATTCTTCAGCCCACCGTAACAGGAAGTGCCCTGAGAGTGCTGTTACCATGTCTTCTGCAGAGGGGACACCACACTCAAAAGTCACAGCAAAATCCCAGATTGCATCCTGCATCGCATACCCACCTGCCACACACACACACACACACACACACAAACACACGCTCCCTAGTGGATGGCTCCAGGAGAGGAGGCCAACAGAGAAACCTCATTAGGTTAATGGGAAATAAATGTGGTTCTGTGAATTAGCATTTTGCAGCACCAAGATGCCAACTTGGATAAAGATAGTGAATAATTAACCAATAAATCTAAATGATGTTTTGTGTTGTTGTGGGAAACTGTATTCAGACCTCAATTGCTCCATCGTTTATCATAAGGGTGAATGGTTCAGAGCCAATGGTTAAATGTCTGTGGTTCAAAGAACTCTCTGTGTACTGTGAAAATCTGACCTGTACATGCTTTCAGCAGTGACCAAGGCACTGTTCAGACGTAGATGCTGAGGGCAGGGGAGAGAACATATGCTGCTGAAAATGACACGAAAATGCATGGTAGAGCTAGACCACCTGAGAACACTGCAGTAAAAGGGTGGTCCATGAAGGTAAGGTTCTGGTTAACCAGACTTATCAATCTGTGATGTCATGGTGTCATATTTCTAAAATTGCAGAGATTCAAATGATGCAGACTGACTGCTTCCCCAATCCATCCAGAGCATGGACTAGTGCCATGACCCATGGCAACTCGCTTTCTGGTGCTGAGCCTCAGTGTATCCATGTCCAGGAAAGAAAGAGTAAGACCCATTCCACAGCATGGCTGCCCAAGTTCAAGTATGTTAGAAAATCAGTACAATTAAGACCTTAGCTTAGGGCCCAGTGCAGTAACCTAGCAGCTAGAGTCCTTGCCTTGCATGCACCTCTATAAGGAGGCAGCTATCGACAATTTTGTTTGGTAAAACTGGGAGGCAGTGGGACTGTCCCTGAGCTAGTAGAAGCCAGGAATGCAGTTTGATGTCCTATAATGCACAGGATGGTCTCCACCATGAAGAACGAGCCAGCTTACAACAATGTCCACAGTCCTGAGGTTAAGAAACCCGGCACACACTGATGGCTAGGGTTACACCAGGCTCTGTTCTCCCCGGTCCCAAAGCCATGCTCTAGCCACCCCAAGCCAGGGGGACATGAGTGGGCCGTCAGGGCTTAAAGCTACATTTCGGTTTGACTGAGACTGACTGCTTCTCGCAAAATCTTGTCCTCCTGAATCCAGTTATGAGTGTGCTCACATCTGCCCGCTCTGTTCAAGCAATGACCATCCCCTATGTTACTCCAACAGCTGTTGAAAGAAGTCTCAGTGATAACTCCTGGCTGGACCCACTCTGTTCATTCCCATGGGAGTCTTCTGAGAACCTAGATGGTTCCAGGCACCTGCAGCTCTCTTCTGAGGAGTCAGCAAGGACAGGCAGAGTGGGGAGATAAGAGGGCATTTGGGAGAAAGCAGCAGAAAGGCTGGTTCTTGGCCTTCCTTGAGTGCCAGAGGATGAGTTCCCTCCAGGTGAACCTCCCTGGAGCTCCAGCTGCTGTTATAGGAGGGAGTGCATCCTCCTGAATGCCCGCCAATGCCTCCGTCTTACCTGTTCACAGAGGGTTCCAATCAAGCCTTCCAAGTCCTGCTTCTCGTGGAGAGCTATCTGCTTCTCCTCATACTCTTGCTCCAGCTGCATTTCCAGCTGACGCAGCTGTGGGGACAGAGGACAGAGGCATGTGGAGAGAGCGTGAACTCCATCTGGATGGATTCTGTGATGCTGGCAGGACACCCCGCCCCGCAAAAGGCAGAGGAAGGGACAAGGAGCTCACTTATGCCTCTGCTTTGTGAAGCCTGGCTTAGCGTGTGGGCGGGGGTTGTCTCAGATGGAAGAACTTGGAGTCTAAGAGCTCAGGAGCTGGACAACGACAGGGAGAGCTGGGATAGTTATGGGGAGCCTCCTGTTGTGGACTGTGAGCTTGTCCAGCAGAATGGATCTCTCCTTTCTAGAGCCACTGCTTGAATATTCACAAGTCTCGGCACTCTGGTGTTTCAAATCCCTGCACAGCATCATGGCCAACCTAAACTTCTGCATCCATCTCCTTAGCAAATACAAAATGCTGCAGGTTGCATCAGAGATTACAGGCTGCTAAGGACTCCTCTCATCCCGCACCCCAACTCTTACCAAAAAAAAAAAAAATACCAGTGTCATGTGTTTTGCAAGTGGAATCTTTGGGAGGTAATAAGGTTTTGTGTGAGGTCATGAAGGTGGGGTTCCCAGGATGGATCAAGCTCTGAGAAGAGTTGCTGAAATGTCTCCTGACAAATGGATGGCTAAGTCCATAGAATGCAAGTCCCCTTCAAAACTTGAAGAGTGAGAAAGGCAAGACAATCTGCTCATATCTGTTTTGAAAGCTGAGGCCAGAAATCTCGTTTTGAAAAAACATACAGATCATCTAAACTACCTATCAGGAAAGGCTACACTTTCTTGAGTGGAATATGGAACACATTTTTACATGATCACAGGCATGATGGGGGTGTGGGTAGTCCCCAGACAGCAAGTGTAGCATTGTGCTAAGTGAGGAGTAACCAAAAGCTTTCTAGAAATTACACCTTAAGGATATGTCTTGCATTCACATCCGTCCCTACATCCTCAAGGTCATTTATATCAGCATCATTTATAACAACAGAAAACCAAAACAACCCAAATGCCCAGCAATAAGCATGTTTAAGGTGAAGTACTGATAATGCAGTAAATGCATGAGTTAGTTCTGCATCACAGATGTAAATTCAGTTCAGGACCAACTGTTGAGTAAAAAATAGTGGACTTCAAAACAGTATGATTCCACTCAGTAAAAACAGTATCTCTACAAATGTGTGTGGAGGTAGTTAGGTATATATAAAGAGACCTACAAGAACACTTAAAATAATAATTATGATTGCATCTAGGCATTCAGTTTTCAAGGGTTTATTGCTTCCTTCTACACTGAGTTGTCTGCAAACAACTTGGAAAAAGTTTACTAAACGATTTGACTTTGGAAGGCAAATGGTCAGAAGGAACCAGTCCCATGATTAGGACTTGGAAGTCTGTAACCAAAGCATCAGTCAGACAGCACTATAGGCTTTTGGTAAAGATCTTAGAGATTATTATGCTGGACAGTTCTAAAGACTTCTAGATAGTTCCAGAAACACATTTGGAATATGGGTTTTTGCACTAGTATCTCAGAGGGTCACAGAAAAGAGCCAACCCCCAGATCCCAGACCCTCTCCTCACTCTAAGGAACACGGCATTTCTGGATTGGACGTTTCATGACCCAAGGGCACAGCTGTGCTGCTGGCTCACATACCCGCTTCTGGCAGGACTGGCGGACGTCCTCCAGCTCCTCCTCTTTGTCCTCGCGGTCCTTCTGATGCATCTGCTTCATCCTCTCAATCTCCAGCTCAAACTGCTGGCGGAGCTAGGGGGAAGCAAGGGCAGTAAATGAGTGTGACTCGCTCTAACTCTCCTGGTCTGCCATGGCACCCTGAGCATTCCAATTGCAGTTTTCATGTGCTGAATGTGTGAGCAAGGCTCAGCTGATGTTCCTGGACACCCCGGGAGGTCATAGACACCTAGCCCGAATGCGGCCCCCTCCTTCCTTGTGTCTATAGGTAGACATCACTAATCAGTCACCCTTGCCTACTGAGTTTGGATGCAGCCTCTGAATCCTCCCCAACATCCTAGATAAAATAAGTCTGTCATTCCTGAAGCAGGGTCAGTACTGTACTTATGGATGAGTGGACAGGTGAGAATGGATAGTTGGAAGAAGCTTACAAAGATTCGAAGGCATGGGGAGGGGGGGGGCATAACAAGATGCTACCTTTACCATTTACTTGATCTCTGCATCAAGTTCCTTTTTCTGTAGAAAATAACCATACCCAGAACGCTACTATGAGAATTAAGTAAGATGACCCATGTCGTCAAGTGCCTGAATGACCGTGCCCTCCCTGCCTAGCAGCCTGTGGTGCCAGGAAGGGTCTGGGTCCTGTGGACAAGAGTCTCCTAAATACACCCTCAGCACATGACAGATAAGTGTGACATTCAAATGTGGGTGAGGTCATACAAAATGTTCTAGAAATGGAGGTAGCCATCATGGGTTACAGTTCAAGACTTTTCTTTCCTGATCAGCATAACTGAGACACGGGCAGGGTCCAAGCCCTTGCTTGTCAAACTTCATAGCGCCTCATGATGACCTCAGTGACTCTGAAAACTTTCAAATCCCATGGCTTCCTTTTAAATCTGTTGAATCAGATGCTCCAGAGTACAGAGCAAAAGATTCCAAACTATTAAGCTTTCTTTTTTAGGTGCTTTATCATCATCATCATCATTTTATGATACAGTTCCACAGGCCCTGGGACTTCCCCTAACCCTTCCCTAAATCCCCCCCATGAGTTCCCCTATATCATTACAATACTATAGTTCCTCATAAACAATCATAAAGCTGTCATTGTGAACTTGGACAAATGGCAGAGAGTCCAGCATTCCATTGTCAAGACACATCCGACAGTTTCACTGGGAGTCCATTCTCTATTAAGTTTTTACTGATCTTATTCTTTTATGCTATTGCTGCAGGAGGCAGTATTGGGAGACCAGTAGTGTGAATGGAAAATATTGTAGAAAATGCACTACAATAATCCCTCCTTATGTGTACAGAATACCTTCCAAGATCCCAGTGCATGCCTGAAAGCACAGGTAATGTCAAATTTTATGCCTGTGTATGTAAACATATGCACATATACACATGTATATATAATTCCTGTACATGTAATTTCCTGTATTTCTGCTGTGTTTTCAGTTAGCACCAGAATTAATCTATCCTTCCATGTCTTATGCCCTGTTGCTTACTTCACGTCACCATCCTTACACTTGGACAATATTATGCCATAAAATAAGGGTTTCTAAAAACAAGCCCAATGACACAAGAACAGTCAATCTGACAAGCAAGAAGGCTACCAGGTAGCAAATGGGAGGGCAAGATACATAACATGGACACACTGGAGAGAGGGCTCATTCAGGTCCCATGTGAGTCTCAGTTGGATGGTTGAGCATTTCATCAACACAACTCAAGGATGGAACATAATTTAAAATTATGGATTGCTTGCTTCTGGAATTTTCCATGTTGTACTTCTGCATGCGAGTTGCCCACAAGTGACTGAAACCATAAAGGGTAAAACTGCAAGTAAAGTGGCAAGGCAGAGGAATCACTCTCCCTCCCCTTTCATCAAGCTTCTGCAAGTTGTCAACTGACATCTCCAACATGGAAATTGAATTGGAAAAAAAAATAAAACAATCTTGGTCTTTTAAAATGCTGAAAATATTTCCTGTTGTGTAGGACTGTGAAGAGTAAAAAAGGATTGTGTATATCAGGGCCCCTGTGGCAGTTCCTGGCATAAAGTAGACCGACTTTAAATGTCAACTTCCTTCCTTTTCTTCTTTAAAATGACAGAGGTTATGGGAAGATAATCCAAAACGAAAAGCCTGTGCAAGTAAATAGAATATTTCTTTTTCATTTTTTCCCCTAGCCTCTTGGACACTCCTGACATCTGCAATGCCACTTCTGTCAGGCTTATACGAGTTAACATAAAATTCCCTGGGAAAAGTGCTATATTCGAATAAATAAATATCTACTGGATGCCTACAAAGGCACAACTCAGCATGAGGCCCCGGCTGATGTTGACAGCTGGTGATGTGTTGAGTCAGCCTCATCTCCCGGGTAAGCCGAGGCTGGAATTGAGGAAGCCAGACAGTCCTGCTTCCAAGCCCCAAGTGGTCCTCCCAGTGATTGTCTTAAAGAGCGGGTGTGATTTTTCACCAGTGTTCACTTACAGCCTTAGCCCCCCTGCCTTACACAACGCCGGACATTGTGTCCTGTCCTGTGTCTCTTAATGACCTTTACAGGTAATGCTACTTTCTCCACTGGCTGGAGCTGGGGGAGGTGGGAGTCGGGGCAGCCAGAGGATGGACAGGTCTCCATTTCTCATCCCACTGATGAGGAGGAGACTGAAGTTTAGAAAAGCCATGAGTTTGCCTAAAGTCAAATGAGAGTGCTTCAAAAAGTTCATGAGAAAAGAAAAAAAATGGAGTTAAATAACTTTATTTGGGCTCAAAGACATTGTGAAACCCATGAATCATTCTTTTACAGCACAGACCTTCCCCAGGGCTCCTTGTGTAGACAATCAGCTATTTCTAAGAACTCATGTTACTCCTTTAACATCACATGACTTCCCAGACTCTGGGCCTTTGCATTGACCATTCCTTCTGCTTGTAACTGTCTCGTTCTATTGATGTTCACTCATTCTCCAGTGTTCAGCGTTGGAAAATATTCCTCCCTTCAGGAAGCCTTCCCTGAACTTCTTTTGCCTTCCACTAGACCATAACTACAAGCTAAATGTTCCCATAACGCTAAACATGACTATAACCTTCAGGAGTGTGTGTATTGTCTAAGGTTGCAACTGGAGCACACACATGGTACTGAGCACAGGAGCAATGTTTCATAAATTTGACTCAGCAAGCAAGGAAAAGAGCCCACTGCTGAGTACCTAAGACTCTCCAGATCCTGTCCGGCCACACTTGCCATCTCTCTTCCTACAGCAGGGTTAAGAGAGAAGCCAAAGCCAGAATCCCAACTCACCTACCTGATCTTCATGCCAACAGAGATGCTCTGAGTTCACCTGCTAAGATGCTGCACAGGGCTCCTGCATCCCATGTCAGATGCCTGCTTCAAGTCCTGGCTACTCCAGGCTCCTGATTCAGTTTCCTGATAATTATCCTAGGAGATATCAGGTGATGCTCCAAGTCTTTGGGTTTCTGCGACCCTGAGGGGTGACCTAGATGGAATTCCAGGCTCTTAGCTTCAGCCCAGCTCAGCCCAGACTTCTTTGTTGTAGGTATTTGGGAAGTGAAATCAACTTCTCAAATAAATAAATGAATCTCAAAGCAAAAACACTTAAACAAAGCATTCATTTGAAACACTACCGGAGAAATTTTTTTAAAGCTAAACATTAAAAATGCTCTTACTTCTTTTTGAAAACGTTTTTGATTTTTATCTTGAGAATAACAAAAAGCACATGACTCATCATTCCTTTTTCCCTCTGGACACCAGAAATTATACAGCCAAAAACTATTAAGTGTTTAAAGCCTGCGCTTGGCATATCTGCATATTAATTCACTGTCCCTACACACTCCTTTGTGTGTATTTTAGAATGTATTTTTCTGGCTCGGATTGTTTTACTTATAATTGTATTATGTTATTGTGCATGTATCTTATAAACAGCATCGAATTCTTTTGGGGATGAAGTGAACATAGATACAAGCAAATAAAATATTCATATATTATTTCATGAGAGGTGCTGGTACCAGAATATTTTATCTTCTTGCTTCATATCCCTTCGTTGTTTCAGATCTCCAGTTGTGCTTTAGGCTGTACAGGGGACAGGCACATAATAGTGGGTGTTCAAACGAAGCAGGGTCTAGCGCTTAATGTCTGCCACTTCCTCCCAGTCTCAGAACCTCAGCTTCTATATCTATAAAGTGAGATTAAAGGGCCCGGCGCGGTGGCGCAAGTGGTTAAAGGTCCTCGCCTTGCACGCCCGGGATTCCATATGGGCGCCGGTTCTAATCCCAGCAGCCCCGCTTCCCTTCCAGCTCTCTGCCTGTGGCCTGGGAAAGCAGTCGAGGACGGCCCAAAGCTTTGGGAACCTGCACCTGCGTGGGAGACCCGGAAGAGGCTCCTGGCTTCGGATCGGCGTAGTATCGGCCCGTTGCGCTCACTTGGGGAGTGAATCATCGGACGGAAGATCTTCCTCTCTGTCTCTCCTCTGTATATCTGCCTTTCCAATAAAAAATAATAAAAATAAATCTTTAAAAAAAAAATAAAGTGAGATTAAAGGGACAGCTCTGTGGGATAGTGGGCTAAGCCAGCTATCCCTATGGACACTAGTTTTGAATTCCTGTTGCTCCACCTCGAATCTACCTCCCGTTACTATGCTTGCAGATCATGACCTATGTGCTTGGGTTGCTGCACCCACATGGGAGACCCCGATGAAGCTCCTGGCTCTTGGTGTCAGCCTCATCCAGCTCTGGCCATTGTGGCCATTTGGGAAGTGTACCAGTGGATGAAAGTTTCTCTCTCTCTCTTTCCTCTCTGTAACTCTGACTTTCAACTACATAAAACTTTTAATTTAAAAAAAGTAAAGTTAATACCAATAAGAACTTCCCAGCTGCAATTCCTGAGAGGATACAAGAGCAGAACTTAGGGCTGAATCCAATACAAAGAATGCTCACTAAGGGTTAGACATCTGGTCAACAGTTCATTGTTGAGCACCAGTGATATCTTTAACCTGTTTGGGGATACACTGATAAGCAAGATCGAAAATATATACAGTTAGTTTCCTGAAGTTTATATTCAAAAAAAGGATAAAAACATCAGGATATATATGTGTGTGTCTGTATGTGCATACATACATACATATATATATTATATAGCATATATGTGATTTATATATACTATATATAGTGTGTGTATACGTACATATGCTACCTGATATGTAGATATCATGATACCATGAAGGAAAGCATAACAGCTAAAGACATGGAGATTACATGAGAGAGAAGTTTAGGCTATGTACACAGGGATCCCGTCAGGCTTCCCTGAGGAGGTGACACTGACCCTTGCAGAAGGGCAGGAGAAGGCGAAGATCATGGAGAATCTAAATGGCTGAGTTAAGAAGAGTGGAGAGGTCTTCTTGGATCCTAGACAGCCCTCGAAGGATGAGCAGCAGCCCACATCAGACACTGAGAAGATGCCCTGGAGCCAACACCAGACAGACCGTTCCATATGCAGTGAGCCTACCTGCTCCAGCTGCTTGATGGTGCTTTCCTGCTGGCTCTGGATCTTCTGCTGCTCGAGGGCATTGGATTCTAGCTTCCAGAGCTTCTCCTTCAATCCAGCAACACAATTTTCCCGCAGAGAGGTGGACCCCAGCAGCTCCCGTTTCTGGTCCTGCAGCTTCTCTACCTCCTGCTTCAGCTGAGAGGCCTCCTGCGCCTTTTTCTACAGAGACACCAAGAGGAACGTAGCCCAGATTCCACAGGAGCCTCGTCACTCTGCCTCCCCCAGGAAGACCTCCAAGAGCTGTTGGAGTGGTGCTTTCCATGTTCCAATGAATGCTTTTACATCTCTGCCTCCCAGCCCCTCCTTCCCAGAACCCCAGAAATCCCCACACCAAGGGGGGGTGGGATAGATGACAGCAGGAGATGCTGCCTAGGGCAGGCAGACAGGTGTAAGTGCAGGGACTAAGGAAAAGCAAGGATTTTACCCCTTGAGTTAGATCTCAGAGCACCTCAAGGACCCCATGTGCAAGGGAAGGGTGGGTACAAAGCTAAAACACCTCCATGTGCCTGCCCAACTTGGGGTGAAGATAGTGGAGCCAACAAGCAAAGCATCCAGAGGTGACTCAAGTTAGAAAGTCAAGTCCAGGGTCACAGAAGCCATGTGTGTGTGTAGCACCATGGAGTTGCTGGATTCCAGACTAGAATTTAATGATTTTCCTCGGGGTATTAAGGAGCCACGGAAGGGTAAGAAGAACCCAAGTGAGGTGTCAATATTTGGATAAAAGTCCTCAGTGTTGGGATGGCATGGCAAAGAACACTGCTTCCTGGTACCTGATTTCATCTCTGCTGAGCCTCTTACACCTCCCTGGTAGGCAGTTTGGAACCTATGCAGGTGACTAGAGCAAGATCATGACATTAAGCTAAGAATATCTAATGATGAATCAGCCAATCATTGTTTCATTAAGATTCACTGGGACCTGTGACCCCAGCCACCTGGCAGACCAGGACATCTGCCCAGGGTTCTCTCCCTGACAACATCATTTGTAGCAGGTGCACAATGGCATTTCCTATGATCCAGCATCCAAGAGTCTAGAGGGTTCACCTCACTGCTTACCTGCAGCTGCTGCTGGAGCTGACCCAGCTCCCACCGGACACTGGTATTCTCCTGAGTCACCTTCTCACGGAGGCTCTTCTCAAATGCAAACTCACCCAGGGCCTGGGCCAGCTGCATGTCAAACCTGTTTAGGCAAAACACACATGATGGCACCAATGAAGGGGAAATGGATATGGAGGGTTGAGAGGAGCTAAAGAGAAGCAGTTAGTGCCATAGGCAAGAGAGACAGAGCTGGATAGATGGACAGATAGATGGATGCACATAGATAGAAAGATAGATAGATAGATAGATAGATAGATAGATAGATAGATAGATAGATAGAGACAGAAATATACAAGTGTTGTTCAATGTTTTTCTATAAGGTTATAGTTGTGAGATAATGATTCACAGAGGAGTTTTCATTTCCACAAAAAATATTGGGTGCTTATTAAAACTATGATAAAAATGTGTAGACAAGAAAATTAAAAGTAAGATAAAATTATATGTAGATATAAAATTAAAATTGCAAACACATAAGTAGATAGAAAAAGCTCAGAAAACTTATTTGTAAAGACCCATTGACTCTCCCAGGCCCACGTTTGGCAGCCAATGCCCTCTGGTCAGTCAGCATGTATATACATGTTGTCATTTATCTGTCTTCACACAGACAAGGCGATCCTGCATTTCTTACTTGATCTATTGTCTGGCTGGTGCACCCACAAGCCACATTGAAGCATGTTAATTGTTGCCCAAATGCTGGGAATGTAGTCCTTCACTCTTGTCCCCATGTTTTTCCCTGGTAGGAAACATACAGATTCACTAATCCTTTTGGGGAGTCATGCAGGGAACTAAGAAACACCTAGTTAGAAACCCTCTTGCACCTCCATGATGGCAGCAGTAAGCACTCCCAGGAGCAAATATCACCCCCTCCGAGTTGTCTCAGCCTTGTATTCATGTCACAGGTGAGCAAACCAGCCCGGGAGCCTTTGGCAAACTTCATCAAGGTGAGGCTTGAAGTAAGCATCCCATGGCTCAGACAGGACACCTCCAGGGCCCCAGAGAAATGGAAGTGGCAGACCTGGGCATGGCTCTTGGTCTTAGTGGCAAAAAGGGCCCTTTTGTTAAAAACAGATGCAATGCCCCTTAATACCTGATGGTCATTCAAAGTCCCAGACTCCCAAGCAGACCAGTGACAGACGTCCTCAGGTAGACCCCATAACTCAGAATCTTTCTAACGGGCTGTTGGTGACATCATTCAAGAAGTAGTATTTGTAGCTTCTGAATGAAAGCATGCTGAGGATGGTGATGATCCAGCTGCCTCAAGATGCTAGGTCTCTGGCCTACACAGTGAGAAACTGTCATCTCCATTTACAGAGAGGGAAGCTCAAGTTCAGAGAGGTGGAGCAGCTCATTCCTTAATTCCCAAATGGTAGAAGTGAACTTGAATCCAGCTTCCCTAGCATCTTAGATAGTCCCTGCCCCATCTACCAGTCCATGCCTGTGGACAGGTGAGATGAAGTGAAGCAGCAAGGGCCAGGTATGACAGGTATTTCAGAGAAGCGCTTGACCTGACAAGTCATCTGATCCTAAAGAATGGATATAGACCCCCAACTTCTAGAACACAATGATCAACCAATCACCTGGGGCCAGACAAATACACACATATACTTCCGGGAAAACCTGGGGTCCAGCTTTCTCCTGAGCATTGGAGTCAGTGGACCTCCTTCAGGGCTTACCCCAAGAGTTCCAACCTTTGTGACATGTGCAGGGTAACCATGGCAATAATAAGACAACCCCAAATGGAAGCTTTCAGGGATGTTGTGCAGGCAAGGTGGGGGATAGGGAACTCAGGTACCACAAAGCTATCAGTCCATCTCAGGACTACAGAGCAAGCGGCTGTCTCTACCACCTGGCTCTCCATGGAGGTTTGCTGACTCTGGGATCTTGACTTCTCCTGAATTTCTGACCTCTACATGGACACTTTTGCTGCCCTGTAAGTTCCCTGCTAAAATTCTCATCTACCTGCAGTTTGCATTTCACATCAAAACACGCCTCTGCCCAGGTAGGGTAGCAGAGCAGAAGGTACCCCAAGATTTGTTTCGAAAGGAGGAAGAAGCAGAGACTTTTCCTGAAGGGAATATGAATCCCAGGTTCCATGGAAGGGGGTGTGGGAAAGCAGAGACAGAACTTTTCTGGAGAGTGCCCCACCCGTCAGAGAGTTGGAGTCTCACAAAACAAGAGTGAGGAGTCCATGCTGAGCACCAAGACAGCTAGAGCCAAGACAAACCTGGAGGAGGACAGAGTGTCCAGAACTCTGTGTATTAGAGACAGGGTCTGTCGGAACCATTCACGGTCATTGAGTGACCAGTAAAGACCAAGGACACCTCTGAAACACCAGTTGCTCTCTGACCCAGAGAGGTGATGTCACTTGACAAGGCCACACAGCAGGTGGCCAAGACAAAAACTGAGCTGTTGCCTCAACTTCCATGGTAAGATGTAGCCAGATCATCCATAGGCAGGTTAAAAAAAAAAAAGATAAATAAAATGCAATACAACCTCAGTAAAAAGAGAGCAGACTTCTCCTCTTTGTAGGAGTAGGCAAACAGCCTTTGCAAGACCTGAAAGTCAGATAAAGAGCCAACCTTGGAAAGCCGAAGGATAAGTGAGAGAGACAATGGCGAAACCACCACCCCACCCGCCCCATTCATTCCCCCACTGTGGAAATGCGATTCTGCTAGTACTCTCTGCAAAGTCACATCCTGGCTCACGCAGGAACATTTTTCTATGTTTGCTCTGAATCTTCCAAGATAGATTGTGTTCACCTATTTCTCACCTATGAATTTTCTGCAAGGGCTGGCCTGGCTCAAAGCAGGACCTCAGAAAACCTTAGCCCACACCAAGACAGCAGAAGGACTGTGGGCACAGCCAAGTTCAGGGACAAAAGCCTCATGGGTGCTAAGGGTCTGCACAGGGAAATCCATGAGTGTGGGCCTAGGCACCAATTCAAGTTCTCCTGCCATATGGCTCTGGTAACACCTCTAAAGGAAATCAAGTATAGGAACCAGGGTGCAGATTCAAGGTTGGGCTCTCACTTGTGCACAAGGTTCAATCCTTGCTGGGATTGTTCACATGATCTTACTCCAAGTCTTAAATGAAAAGGGCAGGAAATTGCATTTTTTTTTCCTACCTTAATTTCAATCATGGTGGTAAGAACGAGTATCTCGTCTGTTCATCTCTACCACCCAAAATCAGAGTCCTCACCACAAGACAGTTATTCTCCTTGCCCTTTGCTCAATTTACCAAAGAGCTGAAGGGCCTGCCTGATAAAGGTCACACAACTAAAAGAAGCCATTGCTGGGGCTTGAACCACAATGGTTTATTTGAGAGACAGAGAGATTGATTGGATTCGCTTCTCAAATGGTTGGCCAGAGCTGGAACCTGAGCTGGGAGCTAGGCAGTCAGCACAGGTATCTCAAGCAGGTGACCAGACCTCCATTGAAGGAGCCATCATTTGCCATCTCCCAAGATCTGCATTGGTAGGAAGCTGGAGTCAGGAGCTGGAACTGGGAATCAAACCTAGGCATTCCCCCTTGAAAGGTGAATGTCTTAACTCTTAGATGCAGTCCTCATCCCAAACCAAGATGGCTTAATATCAGTGCCTGGGCTCCTAACCACCATGCCATGAGATCTTTCGAAACAAATCCCTTACTTGTCAAAAAAAAAAAAAAAGAATATAGAAGTTCCCCCTAGGCTGCATGGTTATGGATAACTGCCAAGTTTGAGTAAGTAAGATAAAACAATTATGTCTTTCTGGGTTCTTGGGAGAACCAGGCTGGAGTAAGATGTAAGGAGGAAAATAAATCCAGAGCAGATCAGAAGGGTTAATTAAGCCCCATGGGAGAGAAAGGGAGAGAAGCAAGGGGGCTTAGCAGGAGACCATGCAGACCTCACAAGATCCCAGCACCAGGCAAGCCCAGTCTAAGCAGCCCAGGAAGGATGTGGGTTGCAACTCACTTCTTCTGCTTCTTCTCCAGCTCATGGTTTCGGCTCTGCTGGTTCTCCAGCAGGACTCGGGTGTCCTCCAGGTCACAGGTCAGGCGGTGGCATTTCCTCTTCAGTTGTTGGGCTGTCATCTTGGCCCCTTCGTAAGCACCCTGCAGTTCCCCGAGCTGTAGGAATAAGACAATGAATGGTCCTGCTCCGCTGGTACCAAATAGGTGTGTTAGTCCCTAAGAGTCATCACCTGAAATCCATGGGTGGAGAGGAGGAGGAGGGTTCCTTCCGTAACCTTTAGCAGGTACCAAAACTCCATGGAGGCTCAAGTCCCTTAGAGTTTCAAGCCAGAGCTAACTCCATCCTCCCAAATACATTACATCCCCCCTCTAAACGCCTGCCAGCACCTAATGTGATACAAATGCTGTGTATTCACTAATACACAGCTAATACACTAATACTTAGCTAATCTCTGTCGTTCAGGGGGTAATGTTGAAAACAAAGCTGTCTGCATGCACTCAGGACACGCACAACTTATTTTTTGGTCCAAATATTTTTAGCACATGGCTAGTTGAATCCATGGCCGTGAGATGCGTGGATATGAACAGTCACTCGAATCCCAGGAAGTTGCCACATCCAAGGTAAATATAATGGGAAGAAGACACTGAAGTCGCAGTCATCTAGTCTTAACTACTTTGACCAGCATGACTTCCAGGAAGGGGCTGTTCAGAGCCTCAGTTTGCACAGAGGTGAAATGAGGGCAAATTCACCCACCTGTTAACTTTTTCTCAACAAATATCCTGGCAACCCACGGACTTTTTGTCTTCCCTGCCTCAACTTGACACCAGACAATTAATGTTCCCTTGGCCACATCAATCCGACAAAGTGAGGGAGAAAGAGAGCCACAGAGCCCCTCCGGAAAGATGCAGCCAGTAAATCTAAGCAGGAAACCCCGGAGATGGGTGCAAGCCATGAATGACACCTGGGGTGCACTGCATGGGCGGGCAAGCAGGCGCAGAGCCTCCGGCAGCCCCCTTCAGGAAAACACTCTCCTGGGTGCCCTAGTTTACATGTGGAGAAGAGTGCAACTCAGCAGTCTGGCTTTGCACAAACGGCCTCATTAAAGAATTGCTTTAAATAAGCAAAACTCTGGGTTAATGAAGCCTGTAATTCTAGATTCAGTATTTGAAGGCAAATGGGATGTTTTCTTAGATTCTGCCGCTCTGAAAAGGTTGCCATTTTATTACTTTTTAATGCAGCATGAATATTCCCCTTCCTTAGGGAGACTGACCTGCCTTTCCAATTTGTTATACAGGAATCAGGGCTGCTTCCTCAAGGTTGCCCTCCTGTGTTGACCTATGGTGCAGGATGGTTGTGGGGGATCCCAACCAGATGCCCACCCTGCCAGTAACCAATGGAAAATGTCTTGACTGCCACGCAGGACACTTGAGTCTCACTCCATTGTGCAAAGAATCCAGTGTGGTCTCGCCCTCACTCATCTGTGTCTAGGATACATTTCTCCCATCATTTCCCTCATCCTACAGTTCTTCATCATGTGGCGTGAGATGAGAGGTAGGTGGTTCAATGACAATATATCCTAATTAGGCTACTGTTTCGGAGAAGCAATTCAGGACATCCAACCCAGCCCCATGTCCTGCAAACACATTCTAAGAAGAACGACCTTTAAGCAGATTCCTCGAAGGGAAATATCACTATATTCTTAGACTCGTGCCTATGAACTACACGAAATCTGTTCCTTTTGTATATCAATATTACAGCAGGAGGTAGGAGGTGCTATAAGGAGGAGTAACCGCATATGCAAAGGCCTGCAGGTGAGGAAGAAGTAGGCATTGGCGGGAGGAGGGAGAAGGCAGAGTCCAGGGGGTGTGGGAACAGCTGCACTGATTCACAAGGGCGAACTTTATGTCCAATAACATCATGGGGGTAGTCGGAAATTGGTCACGATAGAAGTGTTTGCACCATGGAAAATGAGCCAATGCCACAAATCATGGCTTTTCCCTGCTCCACCTCCTTTCAACTCGCCCCCCTAAAGACAAGTGTTCACACATCATTAATCAACTTAGTCAATATATAGATAAGTCAGGATGAAGACTAGGGACAACTGGAGACAATGGAAGATGGGACAAGAGGTCACACTCTCACCATATTCATCTAGAAAGGCTAGGTAAAAATATGATACACAACCCACATTTAGAAAAATTGATCAGGGGAGCTTTCCATGCTCATTTTAAATAATATTTTTGGGAAATTCACGGTAGGACAAAATTGTATTTTGATTTTAAAAATTTCGCATCAAGAGAAGTTAATCTGTTTTCCAGAAGATTTGATAGGCAGAGTTAGAGGGAGGTGGAGTGACAGAGATCTTCTAACCATTAATTCAGCACCCAACATGGCAACAAGAGCAAGGAATGTTCCAGGCTCAACTCAGGAGCCTGGAATTCTACCTGGGGTCTCCAACAAGGGTGATAAGAGCCAAGGACTCAGGTCGTTTCTCGCCGTTTACCCAGATGCATAGATGGACCAGCCATGGGGCAGCTGAGGATGACTTACACAGATACAGGTGCCTCAAGTGGCAGCTTAACCTGCAGTGGCACAATGCCAGCCCAAACATGGCTCTTTTTCCCATGTCTTCCACAACATTTTGGAATTCATATATAATGTATGTCATATTTTATGTTTTATAACGTAATTCTATTTTGACATTATTATATTATACTCGTAATACAGCTTGGGTAACAGCTTCAGTTTCCAAAAAGAAACTGATTGTCACAAATGCTGATGATACAAAGCCAGAAGCTCAGGGGTAAGCTATGACAGTTAGGGTGGGAGATAGGAGATAGACCATAGCCCATAGCAGGTGCAGAGTTGGAATGAAACTTCCACGCTGGCAGGCCCTTCAAAGAACTAGCCCCATGATCAGAAAGAACAATAAGCACTCCATTCCCTTTGAAGAGGAAAGAAAGCTTAGTTTCCCCCAGTCTAGGTTGAGGGGCAAAAACCTCAGGTCTACACCTCATGTGGGTATAGAAATTAGCTGATTCGTACAGAAACGTGTGACAGAGAAACCTCTAGGTCTTGTAGGAGGAAATCTACCACAAGAAACATCACAACGAGGAAATCCTGCCAAAGGCAAGCAAGCTCAGAATCAAAACTGACAAAACACAGAAGGAAAATTATCCACCCCGAGAGGCAGCACTGTGTTCGATGCTGGAACCATCTGAGTCCCAGGAAGAGGAGGTACTGGCTCCAGTGCAGCAGGTGGCTAAGGGAAGCGTTTGGAAACAAGGACCAGAGGGAGTGGCTCTGGCCCAGGTGTGAGATTAAGGGAGCAGATTAAAGGCATGAGAAATGGGTACAATGTGATTATTGTAGGAACAAGTGACAATGTTTACAAAGATTAGACTCTCCGCCCAAACAGGAAAGTGACTTCTACAATGTCTAAGCAGAAATGGGACTGGAATGCAGGCATCCAAAGTTAGCAGGTCCACTCATCTGCAACATCTGTCCTTGGTACGCAGAACCACGCAGTTGAAGAAGGTATTTTCAACATATCCTACAATAGCCAGCACTTGTCATTTACGGCAGAGGTGAAACTGGCTGGTGCTCTCCTTCCACCTCCCCAGAACTGGCCCATACCATGAACACTCACACTGGAGGTGAGAACCTGCCAGCTGCCCAGCTCCTCCATGGTCCAGACTATCCCCTCCCTCTTACCTTCTGCTCCAGCTCTTTCTTGGCTGTCAGCTCCGAGTCCAGCCTCTCTTCACATTGCTGTAGACGCTTCCTGAGAAATTCATTCTCCATCTGGGCACAGTCAAAACGCATCTGCCACTCGTCTGCTGTTGAATAGAGTTGGGGAGGCCCAGAATGTGAGAACAAGTGAGTGTAAACTAGGTCTGCAAGTGGCTGCCCTCCCCTGCCTTGACTCTTGGCATGCAGGAGCCCCCGGGTGTCACATTCAAAAAGAGCATTCAGTTCAAATTTTTAAAAACACCTCCTCCAGGCAGCCTGTCCTATCCTAACTACCTCCAGCTGTCTACAGTACTTGACCACCTGCTGCTCTACGATTTGTGGCCTTATACTATTTGTACTCTCACACCTTTCCTTTTCTCAAGGCAATTTCATAATCCCTAATGGCCTGGGAGCTATTTTAGTCATCAGTGACAGCCACTACAAGAGTTTCCCCTCACAAAACAATTCCCTGTAGGTGTGGCTACAAGTTCACCAATTGCCTCATGAACCCACAGACATAAACTACCAACAAGAATTATCCCAAGGACCAGCCTTGTATGGGGCACAGAGCACGCAAGAAATGACTGGTGGTTGAAATAGCAATTTTAAGGGTCTACTATATGCATAACAATATTGAACTTTAAAAAAAATCACTTGTTTCACTAAGATCAATTGGCTGAGTAGAATGAGCTAGTTTAGCTTACTGCTTTTTTTTTTTTTTACTACAAATAATAAAATAGTGCTCTTTAGTTAAGGAAGCTGTAGAGAATATTTCACATGTGCACAGGTGAAGAGAGAGAACATTTGTTTATTCATCTCTGCATCCATCTATCCATTCAGCTCAATACTCATAGAACATGCCACTTTGAACTACCCACGAAGGACAAAAACCTTTCCATCCACCTTCTACGAAATCTAGTGGTGAGGGAAAAACTCTAAAAATAGAAGTAGAATATAGTATGATCAGAGATCTCATTAGAGAATCCAAAGGAGGATTCAAACTCACAAGGCAACATGTTCATTTCATTCATTAGTATGCCTTCAGAACACACTACGATGCCTACCACATAGCAAGTGCTTGATTCTTCTCATTGGCTAGGTTGATGGGTGAATGGACAGATGTGTGATCGGATAGATGGCACAGTGGAAGATTAATGGACGAATAATTGGATTGATAGAAGGAATGATGGGTGGGTGGATGGATGCAGAAAGATGAATGGACTGCTAATTGGACAAATAACTGAAGCTTAGATGCATGATAAAATGAAAGTCTTGGAAGAGGTGACCACAGTAGGGATTTCCATGTTACTAATCTCAACAAATGATATAATTGTAAGGAGTTAACTTAGCATTCATTCAAATTCCCACCAAAATAAATAATACCATAGGTGAAAAAAAAAATCCTGCCGTTCTATCAGAAAAGTGCCTTACAGCAGCAAGCATCCCAGCCTGCAAAAAAAGAAGCAGGAATATGAAGTACCTCTGAGCTCTATTCTAGGATGTGCTTCGTAGCAAGTGACGCAAGTGGGCAACACAAGCAGGTAAGGAAACCGTCCTCCATCCTCCACCTCCAACTGCCTTGCCCCTTTGTATTCAGCCACCCTTTTTTTTTTTTTCTGGAGTCATGTGATTTCTACATTAGCACTGCAGGTTTCTTGAGAACTAAAATTCAGCTGTAACCTCCCGCAAAGTCCAGCTCAGCACCGGGTGCCTACCGTGCAAGCTGCTCTTTAAGCATTTAGTCTTGCATAAATACAACACATAGGGTTTTTTTTTTAATTTTTTATAATTTATACCCCAGCTTGATCCATTGAGGAGATGGTGTGCCACTGTGGTAGAGATGATTAAAGTGTTTTATTGCTTCTTTCTTCTTTCCCATATTTCAGAGAGTTTCTGTAATATACGTGTATTACTTTCATCATGAAAAACAGAGTCTTTGTGGGTTGGCTTCCTGGAAGGAGCAGCCAGAGCTTGAGAGCCTGTTTAGCATTGCGACTAACGTCCCCATGGAATAAACACATTTCCTCCCTTCATCAACTCCCTAGTCAGTCCATGGGAAAAGAAACCAGAGTGTGTGATTTTTGACACGCATCTCAGCCAGATGGGACTAGTACTGAGATACGGGCGAAATCACACTGTCCCAAACTGCTGATTCGCCACCAAAATGTTCCCTACCCCTCCAAAGTCAGGTGTCCCACCACTGAAGGAACTCAAACTCCTCTGCAGTCACCTTGCTGGTCAATGCCTGGCCTGGGTTGAAAGAAAAGCTATGAGTAAAATACCAGGGAAAGGGGCCTCATCTCAGACCCAGAATCCCGACTTGCATTTTTTTTTTTTCCTGAGTGCCCCCCTTACTTCTCAAGGGCAGCCATTCTCTGGGGACGCTGAAGGAAGGCATCTTAGAGAACCTGGCACACACTGGTCTTTCTTTTCGTGTGACTCCCTGAGGCTGGGAAGAGTAAAAGCCACAGTGGTAAGTTGACAACCGTGTCACCAGATCATCCAACCGTAAGAGATGAGTCCTCAGGCAATGGTAGAAGAAAGGCACTCCTAGAAACTCCAGGTACTTCCGAGCCTGTCCATTACTAGCAGAAAATAAGCATTCTCTGACCTCCTCACCACACCATGCCTGCTGAGTGCCTGGCACAACTTCATCATCTATTAGATTGTAATCACAGTAGTTTGTGTTCTATTGGCTTTTAAGAGGATGGCTAGTGATTCTGCTATTATTAGGAATAACAATAAAGTAGTTAATATCTGTTTAGTGCTCTGTGCCCACACAACACGGCAAAGCAATTTTCACTGACCTTCTATGATGATTACCTCTGTCTGAAAGACGAGGAAATTGAGACACAACCATTGCTGTGCCTGTCATCCAAACACGGAATGGGTTCAAATCCCAAAACTCAATTTCACTGGTCCCAGTTTCCCAGATTTACTTTGTAAAACTGACTTTGTGAAAGTTTCACTTAAAAATGTGCAAGTAGGAAAGGGCCGTATCACAGACTTGTTTGTTTGTTTTATTCCTTGCATTATTGCTAGATGGCCCCTGCCATTATTAACCTCTTTTTTGGGACATTGTTGGATCACCTGTTTCATTCCAGGCTGTTCCATGAGACGTTAAGCTCCAGAAGGCAGTGGCTGTGAAATGTTTGCTCTGCCAAAGCCCTAGCCCCTAAGGCAACACCCAGCACGTGGCAAGTGCTCAGGATGTACCAACGTCTGAATGTAGGAATGAGATGAAGCAGCAACTCTGTCCGTGAATATGCCACCCAGCAGTCCCAGGCGGCTCACCTCCTCCAGCATGCTTCCTTTCCAGGTCATTCAGCTGGATTTTCTGCTGGGCTTCTTCCAGCTGCTTTTCCACTTCTCCCAACTTCTTCTGGACTTGCTCACACTTGCTCTGAAAGAAAGGACTCAAGGTTTGCTACAGTCTGTGGAGGGCAGAAGTGGCATTAGTCCCCCAAGCATTCATGTGTTAGGAGCTTGGTCTTCAGTCTGATGCCATTAAGGGGGTGGGGCATTTTGCATCACCTGAGGCTGTGTCTCTGGAGGGCATTAAGACAGCTCTTCTGGAATTCCTGACTTAGTGTTTGTGAGAAGCTTCTTATTATCAAAACAGTAAACGCCTGCTCCCTTGCTTTGGCTTCCTATATCACAGTGTGATCTCTCTCCTATACACGTTTTTGCCATGACATCATTTGCCAATTGGTCTTCAACCAGAGACCAAACCAAAGAGGCTGCCTGATCTTGGTACAGCCATGATGCATGCCCGCAAGGGCAGGAATTGACCACCTCCTGAAGAGTTCTGACCAAAAGTACCACCAAGGTAAGTATCCACCGCCCCAGTCTTCAACCGTCACCATTCCATAGTCAAGGATGATACATTCATAGCACCTCCAAAACAAAGCCTTCAGAGGACCTACCTGTCCCCCCAGGACTTCATGCATTCCAATTTATGCTTCTTGCTTATGCCTACTAAGCTCAGATGTGAGTACATGGAGTGTAGGCCCAGCCACTTTATCTGGCCATCCCTGCCTATTCACCTTGAGCTCCTGGACCTCCCGGAAGGCCTGCAGCCGCTCTGCCCGCTCACTCTCCAGCACCTGGCAGGCCACGTCACCTTTGAAGCGCTCATCAGCAAGTTCTGTGGTCAAGTCGGCAACCTAGGAATAGGGGGTAGGGTGATTAGAGAAGGGTCACTCACAGGGCCTTCTCATGGGAAGCCACCCTCAGGTGCAACCAAGTGTGAGAGAATTCTTGGTCTGACACTTGCTATGTGACTTTCAGCGAAGCAGCACATCTGTCAATCTCAGGGTCCTCAACTTCAATCGGAGAGGCACAACTTACAGAATAGTCTTGACGATTAAGGGAGAAAAACATGTGGAAGGCTGAGCACAATGCCTGGCCAATAATGGTCCATTAAAAATAAATGACCAGGCCCAGTACAGTGGCCCAATGGCTAAATCCTTGCTTTGCATGTACAGGGATCCCACATGGGTACCAGTTTATGTCCTGGCTGCTCCACTTCCCATCCAGCTCTTTGCTTGTGGCCTGGAAAAGCAGTTGAGATGGGCCCAAAGCCTTAGAACCCTGCACCCATGTAGGAGACCTGAAAGAAGCTATCGGTTCCTGGCTTTGGATTGGGTCAGCTCTGGCCATTACAACCACTTGGGGAGTCAGTCAGACAGAAGATCTTTCTCTGTGTATTTCCTTCTCTCTGCAGATATGCCTTCACAGTTAAAATAAGTCTTTAAAAGCAAAATAAAATAGAGTCTGGTGCTGTAGCCTAGCAGCTAAGTCCTCATCTTGCACTCATTAGGATTTCATATGGATGTCGGTTCTAATCCTGGCAGCCCTACTTCCCTTCCAGCTCCCAGCTTGAGGCCTGGGAAAGCAGCTGAGGACGGCCCAAAGCCTTGGAAACCTGCACCCATGTGGGAAACCCAGAAGAGGTTCCTGGCTCCTGGCTTCAGGTCAGCCCAGTTCCGGCCATTGCGGCCACTTGGGGAGTGAATCATCAGATGGAAGATCTTCCTCTCTCTTCTCTGTCTGACTTTGCAATGAAAATATTTTTAAAATAATAAAATAATAAAAACAAGCAGAAGTTCCTGTTAGAAAACGTTTAACTCTTCCTCTGTAAGAGGCTTCCGGTAGCCTATCTGCCTCTCCCAGGCAACAGCAACACACATTCAATATTAATTCTGTGCATGTGTGAGTGTATGTGTGTGTGTGTCCCAACCTATTTTTACCAGTTGCATCTTTACTGTAATTGTATACTCAGTAGGATATTATAAAAACCCACAAAATACAACTAGACAAGGAGTTTCCAGGAAAACTAGGAAGGAATTAATACAAGTCAGTTGCTTTTTAAAGTCCTGTCATTTCACTGGTATAAGTGAAATAAGCAGGGGAAAAAAAAAAGACTAGGCATAGAAGATTAGGGTTCTGCATTGGAAATGACTTGGTTGTGCTTTAGAGATATATGAAGAAAGGTGTGGGGCTGGTGTTTCGGTACAGTGGTTCAGTGCCACTTGGGAGACCTGTATGCCATTTTGCATGCCCAATGTTCAAGCCCTGGCTCTGCTCTCCATCCCAGCGCCCTGCTGGTGGGCACCCTAGGAGGCGGGGGCAATAGCTCAGGTACGTGCAATTGAATTCCTAGCTGGCTGATTCTACCTGGATGTTTCAGCCATTTGAGGAATGAACCAATGGGTAGAAGATCCTGCATGTGTGTGGATGTGCGTGTGAGCATGCATGCGTCTATCTTTCAAATAAAATTAAATTTTAAATAAAACAGACACAGATCTGAATGTTCCGACACACCACACACACACACACACACACACACACACCCAAGATCTATTTCTCTAAGGCAAAAAAAGTCAACTAGCCAAACAGAGGGATGGGCCAGGTCCCTGTGTTTGTGCTGGCACAGAACAAAGCATTCCCAAAGCACTACTGGAGATTTGTGTTTCTTGGAAGTGTGGGTTCACAGGGGACTCCCATTTCCTTGGATGCATTTCTGCACTGCTATTTTTTTTTTATCCATGTTCATCATCAGAAGGGAAAAAGAAATATATCTTCCAAACAGAAATAGTCGTGCTGTGAAATCGGAGGCTGCTTTGTCCCTTCCACACTCACTGTCTTCTGCCCTCCTCCAGCCCAGCTGCCTCTTATGGATGACCACATCACCAACTGCTCAGCCCCAAATTCGACTTTCAACAGAAATAGAGCAAGGAGGAGGCTTGAGGGAAGCAGCCCCCTCACACATGGTGAGCCCCCGCTCATCCCCTGCTTTGAACGTAGCTGCTAAACTTAGCCCACTGAGTTGTGGGAGTGCAGCAGCTGACCCTACCAGGTCCTTAATCGCCAGACCCATGAGGTCATTCCTTTCTCCAGCAGATAACATCTTGACAGGTCTCTCGCCTCCAAGGGTTTCTCTTCCAGGAATCCCAGGCGAGGCCATGGCCAAGAAGCAAGCGTCCTCACCCCAGACTGACTGGAGCCCACTTTGCCATCATCTAAACACCCTAAAGAACAAAATGTTGCTGACCAATCAAAGGAAAGCCAGCAGCTCTGCAGAGCAACCAGAAACTGGACAAGCTGATCATGCATGTATCAGCCCCAACTTCAGCCAACAAGCACCATCACTCTTAACTCCTTGGGGAACCCAGGGCTTTAGTTTGAGCTACCCAGTACCTCACCCTGTTCTCTGCAGTGACCCTATCTCTTCACCCCTGCAAGTGATCAGCTTTCTACCAATCGAGTGAGCAGACCTAGTTTTGGGAACTCTGTAAACATGCCTCCAGGATGTTTGCAGGATTGTTCCATGTCACAGCTGAGACTCGAAGTCAGATCCATGCAACCCAAGGAACAGCCTCCAGTTCTGCATGGAAGAGCATCCCTGGCCCCCTTTAGGATGCAGCATTCCTGGACTGTTCTTTGTCCTATTGTCCTTAAAGTACGCTGGGAATGTGCTTGGAGGGCAAAGAGATGGTTTATGGAACTGCAAATCCCAGGACTGCCAGTCAGCTCTCCCACATCACATCCTAGACTCTGAGATGAGTCTAGGAAACCTACAGGTCAATGTTGTACAAGATGAGGTTAAAGGATGATGAGGAGAGAGACTTCCAGGGTCTGCTCTAAACTGGCCTCCTGCTTGCTTGGCTCTGGCCACTCTGAGTCGCTTATGCAAAGGCAATGGAGCTAAACGACTTGTAGGGGGCCACAAAGCACAGACAACACAATCTAGGAATCTTCCACTCCCCGTCACACCCATCCCCTGAAATCGGCATTAATCCCAAACACCAGGATCGTGTTCCCTCTGCCTCAGCCAATTAGTGTGAAATTTAATCTGTGCTAATTGGCCTGAGCAAGGGGAGAACAAAATTGATTGAACGTATTATTTTCAAGTTTTACAGAACCCGGAGTCTGGAGCCCAAAGGACAAATCTACCTTTCCAAATTGTGGGAATGACAGAAAACTCTTCCACAGGCAGGCAGTCTTTGACCTGCCCCCATCCCCACAAATCCTTCTCCCTCCCCACACTCAGTGGCCTGGGGCTTTGTACAAGAGATGAGGAATGGGCACCTGCTCAGAGCTCTTAGGTCATACAAAATGAAAACCAGTTTAAGAAGTGGGAAAGATGGATTGGTAAACCCAGAAGGGTTGTCACAGATTACTCAAGGACCAATTAACTAGACATCACTCTGAAATATCTCCTCGGACGCACCTTTTGACCAAAATCAGCATAAATGTTCTTTCTACTTAGGGACAATGACTCTGAGGACCTGCTTGTAAAAGACAGGAACAGAAATGAATGAACCCATGGCAGGCTCTGTCTGGAGTCGAAGGGAAATCATAGATCCTTGTGCACTGGCATCATTTGCAGCTTGGGAGTTCCGTGGGTGACTGGGATTTGAGGAACGTTAAACAGAACACATAGAGACAGTCCCCAGGGCTGTCACTCTGGCTGATTAGTTACGGCTCCAACAGCACTGCATGAGCAACCACTGTGGGCCGACTCTTGCCCGTGGGGATCCCAGGGAAGATTTGGGCAAATAAATATACCACAGGGGCATATCCATGCCTTGATTAGATCTTGTCCTCAGTTCTTACATTCAGGAACTCTCAAATGCATCCCAAAGTCTGGGGAGGGAATGGGGGAGAGAGAGATAGGAAGAAAAGGGTAAACATGTATGGGGAGGCAGGTGGAGAGTAGGGTTGACATCCAATGGTCTATGGCACAGAAGCATGACTATAATGGACAACAACTCATCGTCAATCTCAAAATAGCCAATAGACGAGAGCTTGGATGCTCCCAGCCCAACAGAAGTGACCGATATCTGAGGTAATAGATACACCAGTTACCCTGACCTGACCATTACTTTTGTCTACACATTATTGAACTGTTCCATCATACACCATGATCGTGTATCACTGCTGAGTCAATTAGACACTTTTAAAACCTTGGAAATTCCCAACCCTGAAAACCATCCTACTTGTAGACAACGGTCAGCAGTGCTCCTCTGGTCCTCTTCAACTTATCCCACAAAGGGTAGCTCACCGTGAGCCTCGTAGAACTCACAGCCATCAAGTGCACAGGACAGGCTGTACTAGACACTCAGCATCATAATTTAAGCCCGTCAGAAGCTTTCTACGGAAGTCTACTATCCCTACCCCCTTCGGCACAACAGGAAGCTGAGGCATAGAGACATGACATGATTGGCTACAGATGATAATTAGCAAGTTAAAGAGTTAGCCTGATCTCCCAGCCTGCAGCCCTTAACCACCCCTGTCCTATGTCCCCTACCCACTGACCAACACACTGGGCCTCTGGGGCGTCAGCAAGGCAGAAACCATTGTCCATGTGGGATAAAACAGGAGCAGTGACTCAGAGAGTCAACAGCCTGCAGAGTACAAATCCAAGGCCAGAGACGATCTGGACCTCACTCAACTTTTTTGGCCAAAGGAGGCCTGCGTGGAGTTCATGGACTCTGTACTCTCATCCTCATCAACCTGAGCAATGAAACGGAAAAATAAACAGATCACTAGATGAAGGGCTGGCCCAGCTGCTGCACCAGCTGGCCTATGATCTGTTTGTCAAAGACGTTAAGCTGTGGCTTCAGTCTCATGGGATTGCCCCAAGCTGCGTTGGCCACAA